TTTTTTTTGAGACAGAGCCTCAAGCTATCCCCCTGGGTAGAGTGCCATGGCATCACGCTCACAGCAACCTCCAACTCCTGGGCTCAATCGAGTCTCCTGACTCCGCCTCCCAAGTAGGTGGGACCACAGGCGCCCGGCACAACGCCCGGCTATTTTTTGGTTGCAGCCATCATTGTTGATTGGCAGGCCCAGGCTGCATTTGAACCCACCACCTTAGGTGTATGTGGCTGGTGCCGAGCCCAGGAGTTTGAGGTTGCTGTGAGCTGACATCAGGGCATTATTCCAAGGGCAACAAAATTGAGACTCTGTCTCAAAAAAAGAAAAAGACACCTGATCAATTTTGCTAATTAGGTTTTTTTCTTTTTAATTTCAGTATCAGAAGCTTTGAGATCAGCAGGACTACCATCTCACTCTTCTACAATTTCCCAGCATTCGAAGGGAAGTAAATCACCAGATTTGCTGATGTATCAGGGTCCACCAGACACTGCAGAAATAATTAAAACATTACCTCAGAAATACAGAAGGAAACTTGTGTCTCAAGAAGAAATTGAATATATCCAAGTATGTTGTTGTGCTTTAACACAAGACTGTGCAAAACACGAAAACATTTTTGGCTTTTGGAATTTCATTTGCTGACTTACATGCTCTTCTCATTGTCTTGTCAAGTTGCCATAGCTAAAACAGAGGGCCACCGGTAGCCCAGACTGTGACAAGGAAACCATAGTCAGAGCCCTTAGCAAATGTGCATGATGTATTGATAGATATACGTGAGAAATAGCTCTTTGATGTTCTCAGTTTTTTGGAGTGTAAAAAGCTTTTGCAAGCAAGAAATTTGAGGACAATTTCTTTTCTTTCTTTTTTTTTTTTTGAAACAAAGTCTCATTTTGTGGCCCTCGGTAGAGTGTCAAGGCATCATAGCTCATAGCAACCTCAAACTTGGGTTCAAGTGATTCTCTTGCCTCAGCCTCCCAAGTAGCTGGGACTACAGGTACCTGTCACAATGCCCAGCTAGTTTTTTTAGAGATGAGGTCTCGGTGTTGCTCAGGCTGGTCTCGAACCTGTGAGCTCAGGCAATCCACTTGCCTCAGCCTCCCAGAGTACTAGGATCACATGCATGAGCCAGCATGCCTGGCCTGAAACTATGTTTATAACAATCGATGTGAGTATCCAAAAGCTAGGAAGAACCCAAAATTATTTTTAAAAATTAAAGATTATTTGCTTAAAATTATGTAAATTTATAAAGTGGCATGAAAACATTTGCTGTATTAATTTAATCTCTAATCATTGTTATTTTTTTCTTTTGCAGCGTGGAGGTCCAGAGTAATCACTAGGGCTGCTGTTTGTCATCAGACAAAAGAATTACCTTTACAATAAATGACTTCCAAAATGAAAAAGGAGAAATTGTATATTGAACAACTTTAATAAATATTGTGTAAAAAAAAAGATATAGAAAATTTAGATGGATACTTGTAGCTCCTAATTTATGTATTTTGGTCAGCTTCTCCATAAGCTTACCTAAATGTTTATATACTTTATACTTATTAAAGTATACATTTGTAAATGTTAGCCTATTAATTTACTCTTAGTTATCAAATATGACCAGTCTTGAACTATTAAAAGCACACAATATCTAGT